AAATTCTTAATGAACTTCTCCTTCCTGTGCCCAGCAGTTTGCTTTACTTGCTACTTCCCTGAGAAAACATATGCCAGTCAGTAGAAATTCCTTCAGCTTATTGCTATTTTATCTGCATTTCTGCACATCCCTGTTATGTGTCTATCCCTGCACATCCCCATCTCAATGGGAGATGTATCCTCCCCCTGCCTATCACTCATTGTTCTCTAAATCTCATCTCTTCTTCTTTTCTTAATCTTTATCTCTGTTCAATCTCCTGCTCCCTGGCACATGGAGAAGCATGTCCCTCTCAACAAAAAGCAACACTCCACCAATCTTGAAACCACTCCAAAAACTTCTTGCACCTGGCTGGTGTAGCTCAGTGGTTGAGTATTGACCTCTGAACCGGGAGGTCACAGTTCTATTCGCAGTCAGGGCACATGCCCGGGTTGCAGGCTCCAGTGTGGGGCATGCAAGAGGCAGCCGATCAATGATTCTCACTCACAATTGATATTTCTATCTCTCTCTCCCTTCCTCTCTGAAATCAATAAAAATATATTAAAAAGGAAAAAATCTGTACTTGCTCCAAGCTAACCAACTTTCAATGAACTCTTAAATGAGAATGAGGCCAGGCACAACAAAAATGAGACTTTAAGCAAAATGTTGATAATCTGCATGCAAAGACACTAACAAAAAGTATTTCTTTGAACACTCCTTGTAGCAGGCCTACAATAACCTAAGTGAACTCATAGTTCTGACAGAACATTGGGAAGAAGAAAAGGAGACAGTGCAAGGCAAAGTCAGTAGATCAACTTCTTTCTGATCACAAGATGGAAATAACAAAATTTATTTTGCCGAAGCCAGGTAATTGGACAGAGGAGGATGGAGACCAAACAAGATTATGATGGAGTCAGTGAAAGAAAGGCCAGAGGAGATGCCTGTACAAGGGCAGAAAGGGGAGGTCCTCTGTCGGGAGGGCCAAAGATGCAGCTATGCTTTGAAAGGATGACAAATAGTTGAAAAAGAAGAAGCAAACTGAGCTGCCTCAAAGAACAGACAAACCACCACCATCATTATAATGCCGTACAAAGCTACGATGCTCTTTATTTATTTTTAAATATATTTTTATTGATTTCAGAGAGGAAGGCAGAGGGAGAGATAGAAACATAAATGATGAGAGAGAATCATTGATTGGCTGCCTCCTGCACGACCCCCACCAAGGATTGAGCTGCAACCCGGGCATGTGCCCTGACTGGGAATTGAATCATGATCTCCTGGTTCATAGGTTGACGCTCAACCACTGAGCCATACCGGCTGGGCATGCTACTGTGCTTTTTAAATTTTTTTATTTTATTGTTGACAGTATTACAGATGTCCCCAAATTTTACCCTCCTTTACTAACCTCCTCCCAGCCCCTGCCCCACCCCACCCCTTCACCACAATATTGTCTGTGTCCATTGGTACGCATATATGCATGTGAGTTCTTTGGTTAATTTCTTCCTGTCTCTCCCAACCCCCTCTGACATATGTCAGTCTGTTCCATGCCTCCATGTCTAGAGTATTATTCTCCTGTGCTTTTAACATTTCAAAGCCTTTCCACATCTGAGATTTCATTTTTATCCTCACAGTAACCCTAGGAAAAAGGTATTACTGGTCATTGGAAACAATGGGTGATTGCTTTTAGATGAAGCACAAGCAAAAATTATTGTGCAAACAAGGAAGTGTGTCTCATTTAGGAAGAAGGTAATGAGAAAACAGAGAAAGAGGATAAACTTAGAGCACTGTTAAAGGCTTAATGTGAGACGACAAGAAGGAAAGCAGTGGGAACGGAGGATGATAGGTTTCATGTTAAACGAAGGCCAAGAAAAGTGAATAAAATTTCCTCCTCCTCTTCCTCTTCCTTAAAAATGGTTGAGACGAAGAGGCACAGAAGTGCTAGAAAAGCATAGATTCCTAATTAGTGTCAATGGATGAGCTTCAGGGGCTTAGAGAAACCCCACAATCATATGCAGATTTTTGTTTCTGTGGGTTCTAAATTCCTGCCCAATATTAAGAACTGCCAGGATGAAACAAAGGGATAGAGGAAGGTAGAGTAAAGAAGAGAAGTCACATACTCAATGATGGGGAAGGATGCCACCTTTGCTAAGCGTCTAACTGGAGAACAACAGTGATGTGGTGACACACAGACTGTCCAGGCAGAGAGACAGTAAGTTTAGTTGATAAGCTGGGGCAGGGGCAATAGGGCAAAGCGCCTGAGTCAGTCACGTGGATTCCAAACTAGAGAAGAGGAGCCCCTCAGGCATTAGATCCAGGATTCGAAAACCTGGGTACCACCAGAGTATCTGTTCTAAATGGGTGCATCAGAAAATATATCAAACCACCAAGGAGGCAGGGGAGGAGAGAGAGAGAGAGAGAGAGAGAGAGAGAGAGAGAGAGAGAGAGAGAGACAGGTGGCTAAACAATCTCTCGCTGATGAAAAGCAAAATGGCCTCTGGTAAGGAAATATGAGTTAAGATTAAACCAAGGGCAGGGTTGAGATAATGTATTCAGAGGCAGATAACCAACATGGATTCGGGAGGGGGCAGCTGGCCTGAAATGACAGAAGGCTTCAGACCACATGATGGGGTAAATGGAGGTCAATGGGCAAAGGACAGTAAGGAATTGCTCATAAACCGGGTATATGAAAGCTTCCCAAAATGAAATTATGGAATAAAAAATGAGGAAACTAGATTTGTCAGCAGGAAAAGAATAAAACCGCCAGGGACTAGAAGGACTACACTATAAAAGGGTGAGCGTCAGGAACAACAGCCATAGAAAGGAATGGCGTTCTGATTCATGCCACTCCACGGATGCATCCTGCAAACATTACGCTACGTGGAAGAAGCCACACTGAAAGACCACATAGATACATGACTCCATTTGTAGGAAATGCCCAGAATAGGCCAAGTTTTAGAGACAGAAAGTAAATTGGTGGCGACTGGGTCTGGGAGGTGGTGGAATGGAATAGGAAATGATTGTTAATAGAGACAGCTACTTATGGGAAAGACCAACATTTTCTAAAATTAGATTATGGTGATGGTAGCACAGCCTATGAAAATATTGAACTTTCAATTGTATACTTTAAATGGGTGAATTGTATAGCATGGGGATTATATCTCAGTAAAGCTATTAAAAATTTGGGGATAAAGAGGAGCAACTTAGTGGGCAGTGATAAGAGCTAACATTTTATTTTTCATATTAGGAAATAAATAGATATTGAAAATGGATGAATTCTAAAATAGTGATGAAAGATTAGTAGGAAACAGAGAAGTAACTATCAAGAGGACTAAATTCAGCAACGGGCAGAAGTGAAGTGTCTGGGATGGGCAATGGGGCATGGGAAGCGTTGAAGCCAGGAATTATTGCTTTTCATTTTAAATTCTTTGTTATTGATATTTAAAAATATTTAAAAATTTTACCTAAAATTTTTAGGATATTACAAAAATATACATTAGATTAGTGAATAAGATCATTCTTTTCTTTACACAGATTCTGTCTGTCATTTTGGGCCAAGTTAGCTTCATCTCAACTACCTTGTACACCAGGCAGATCCGTGGCTCCTTTTATTACATAGTGAGCAACTGACAGCTCATGGAGTTGCATCACATGGTCTGGATTCTTACCTATGAAGACCTGGGTCTATAAAAACCTGTCAGGTCTTTATCTCACTTTGCAAATTGTTGTAGTTTTGCTAGTTTCATACTCTTAATTGGTCATTCAGTGGCTCATCCTTCATTTATTTTTTAATTTAATTTTTATTTTTATTGATTTCAGAGAGGAAGGGAGAGGGAGAGATAGAAACATCAATGATGAGAGAGAATCGTTGATCGGCTGCCTCCTGCATGCCCTCTACTGGGGATCAAGCTCACAACTTGGGCATATGCCCTTGACTGAAATCGAACCCAGGACCCTTCAGTCTGTAGGCCGACGCTCTATCCACTGAGCCAAACCGGCCAGGGATTCTTCACTTAATATATGTATTTACTGAGTGCCCATCACATGGGAAGCACAGTGCTGGGGACTGGGGACATTCTGGTGAGGACACTTAGTCCCAAGGAGCTGTCATTCTCCTAGGAAGACACAATTGTCACTGGACAATTACCATGTGACACACAAAAAGAAGGGTGCTCTAGGAGCACATGGGAGGGGAGCCTAGCACCTTGGAAGTCAAGTAAGGCTTCCTGGAGGTGGAGACATTGAAATTGGTGTGTAAAGGATGAGTAGAAGCTAGCCTGGTGAAGGGGATGCTGGAGGGGAGAAAGAATGTTTAGGATATTAAACGGCTGCTGTGTAGAGTATATAAAGAGAAGGGCAGGAAAATGTAGGCAGAATAATGAACCCCCAAAGATGCCCAGGTCTTAACCCCCAGAATCTGTATATATGTTACTTTACATGGCAAAGGGACTCTATAGGTGTGATTAAATTAAAGACTTGGAGGTGGGGAGATAATCCTGGATTATGAGTAGACCCAATAGAGTCATAATGGTCTTTATGAGGAAAAGAGGGAACCCATTTATTCGTTCAACTTCTAGAACTGTTATCTTAAGCCTCTAAGTTTATGGTAATTAGTTATAGCAGCAATAGGACATTAATGATGTAAAGTAGACTGGAGAAGTAGGGAGGAACTGGAGGACTGAGTTTCCTGTAAGCCCCGTAAGGAGTCTGAGCTTCATTTCGAGGGCCAGGGGAGCCTGTGAAAGGGTCGCACTTGTATTTCAGAATGATGCTCCAGCTACAATAAAGGGAGTGGGTGGTGGGGGGACAGAATCTCCTCATGAGCCTGCTACTATGGATTCTACCTCACAGAGCCCAGAGCAATGGTCCCTGGCGTGGGTTCAGCAAGAACCCTGATCTCTGTATGGTTAGCAAATACTGGGTATTGCATAACGAGCCCTCAGTCTGGGATAGAGAACCCGACAGATGCAAAGCGTAAAAGTGCACGGTGCTGGCGCAGCCTTGGCCCCAAGAAGGCGCTTTCTCACCTTGATTTTCCACATCCTTCAGTGGGTCCACCCCTGGAGACAGGATAAAAAATATGGGAGTGGCTGGTCCTGATTCTTCAAATGAGGTTGCAAAGTCTAATGCTCTTCCCAGCACATATTTGCTTCCTAATGTCTCCTCAACAAAATGCCTTCCAGAAAAAAGAGTACATAAACGTTTATTAGTCACAAAATACTAACATCTGAGAAACAGGTCTAGAAAAATGGAAGGATGTGCTCCAGGTCATGGGCTTGGTAGTTACGGAGCTGGGACCAACTCCAAGCACTTCTTGAAAAGTCAGCACTTAACATCTGTGTGGCTAGCTTCCAGCTGGCACATCCAGATCAGGGCTCCTTCTGCATCCCCACCCAGCCAGGCCCTCACTGACTCCTCCGTGAAGCCTGGTGTCCGGACATCCCCACCACCCCTCAGAAGACTGCCAGAACCAATGCCTTCGAAA